TATAGATGTTTTCAGCGGGTTCGTTTTGAAATTTCTTTGAAGGATGGCTTACTGACACAGAGGGGCTTTTTCAACTGAACCCGTCACCCTACGATATTTTAGCTGCAAATTTCAGTCAATATCGAAAATACCAACTTTTTACTTTTTTTTTTTACGAAATGAAACGGAAATGTGTGTATGAATAATGATGTTTAGTTCGAGAATGCTCGAGATAAATGCCTCAAAAGAGACAACGGAAGTTGGGCAACAGGGCAGCTACTTATTGTTCCACAGGGTGTTGAGAAAGGATAGCGAACGAAATTCGGTAAATACGGGAACCATTCCTTGAGGACGTTTCTTTGTCGTTCATTCTAAACGCAGATATACGTCCCACTGAAAACGGAACTGGTGATTGGTAATTAAATTAAAGTGTCCATTAGTGCGATGCTCGTATAAAATGGTTAACGCATTATACATTAAGTGTATTGAGTTTGTTGCTGGGTAACATGCAGATTTTCCAAAATTTTGGATAAAATCACATACGCTGATCCTACAAGGAAGCGTGAATTTTCGTAGCAGAATTACGCGAAAGGCAGAACATCACCTTCATAGAGCTGGTATCAATGACGTAGAGCGTAAGTTATTTCAAGCGGAATAATCAGATGCAGGAGCAGGTCATCGGATAACCTATGAAGTCAGCGGTGTAGTAGGAATATGTTCTGAAATGCTATAGAGCTTCATGTAAATGTTAACGAAAGAAATCATTGCAATGACATGGCAATTCCAGCGATAAAAATTATTATTTATTATCCATTTTTGATAGTTTACCAGCCTTCTATTTTTTGCCATGTAGCCTGGCTAACGACGGGAAAATTGCTCGTTTCCGTTGCTTTGACAGCAACATATTTTAAAATGAGTCATCGTTTACGCATACACCGTGTAAGTGTCGCTAACTTCACCTGTCGCTCGTAGAAATAAAGGCTCAAAGTTCGAATAGAGCATATTATGTCATTTCAAAAACCTAGTGAGCGGCATTTTCAAACAAACAGCACAACATAAGGATAGCAATGTTCAATTATTCCGAAAAACTGGTAGCTCTGAGGCACTGTTGGCCGAAGGTTGGCCAAGGTAGAGCTTACAAGCCCACCGAGTTCCTATGCTGGGGCCATGATAACGTGCCTGCCTTCAAAATGGAGCTATACATAGTAATAAGCTCGTTTAGCAGCTAAATCGGGCGTATGGATCAAAAATGATCCATTTTGTGCTCGTAGAGGCAGCTAGCCATCTGAAGCAACGATGTTTAATGAAGACAACTGCACGCACGATAAAACAGGATGCACGATAGATCTGAAACACGAATCGAACAACTCCAGGGAGTCGCTGGTTCCAGCTTACCACATGCATATATAAATGCAGTATGCGTTAACAAAATACAGAGCACGGACCTCTTTAGCTGTGCTGGCCTATTATAAAATCTAATTTTGGTATTGTTATATGCTAGCTCTGCTACATAAGGCCGTCACGTAACTCTTTGTTGATCTCAGCTCCTTTAGCTCGATGCGGCCTTTGGGTGCGTATGTTTGAATAAATTTTATTTAAGTCTTGCTTCTAGATTCATACACACACATACCGTATAGCTCTTCGGGGTAGGTAATGTTCAAGCGTCGCGCATTCGTAAATAGCCCGTCTTTTCTACTAGAAATCATACTCTCAAGGTTTAGTGATTTTTTCGTGATTGTCCTTCTCTATTAAAATATGGTTCTATAACACCCAACGAATTGCTATTTTAGAATTAGTGAAACAAATTACCGTTTTAGATAATTATCGATTCTAGTTGACTGAATCTATAACGTAACGCGGTATTACAGACATCGTGCTCCCGGGTATGAAGATGAACATCATAGATCTAAGCAAAATATCCTTCGTAGTCATGGGACACTGATATATTAATTAACATTCTGCGTTCACCCGTACGTACACTATCTACACTTCTGTTTGTTGCTAGCAGGTACTCCGAAAGTCGTGGAAAATGCTGAGAACCAAGTCCCACAATTACTTTTTTTTTTTTTTATCAAGCTTTCCCATAGCACTAGAACTGTAATTTTTCGAAAATAATTATGGCCTTTTGTTGCCTGCAGAGCATGTTCAGGTAGTAATAGATGATCCACCTAACGTTCTGGCTGTTAGCGGACATACAAGACATGGACGAAATATACAAAGGAAATTTCACGTCTGCTTTATTGAATTTAAAATGTCATGCATGAGCTGGTCCAATCTGAGTGACAGATATTGCACGACATCGGACTGCATTTATGACCAAGTCACGCTATATATGGGACGACTTGAACGCAAGTACATGGTAAACCGATGGTAATAGTGTGATTCGTCCTGACTGACTTAACATTGAACTTAGTCGATATAAATCTGCAGGCGAAGTTAAATTTTGCAGAATCATGAACTTAGATACACATTGCAGGAAGTGCATGAGGCGTACCACAATAAACTCGAATATGCTGCATACAGCTTCTTCGTCCTGGGTCCTAGGTTTGGATCCCAGCTCGGGGGCTCAAATGTATTATTTCGGCATTAAGTGCAGTGTTGCAGACTCGAGTTCCTTTCAATTGCTCCGTCATTGTGCTACATCGTTGCAACTATTCTTGGTAACGGCGTCTTGTTTGTTACAATTGTGACTCAGCAAACAGACAAAATTGTCGGACCCATTTCGTCACCCTGCTGTGTTACCACCTATCATTTTGTTTTAATGATCCCATCACATAGCTTTAGTAATTCGGTTAACTGATTTACTTATAGTTATTTTAACTGATTTTAACTTATAGCTAAAACGACGAAAAAAAAACCAATACCGCAATTTCTGGCGCCTATATCACACGATTATCAAATTTCAGTCGATAATACGTATAGAACCGAAGGCGTGTATCGTCACGAAGCTTCGATGCATCTCTCGATATTGCCGATAGATGCGCACACGCCACCTCTAGCTCGACCCACCCTGCACCTACCGAATGCACGTAGTCCGCCTTTAAATCACCGAAAATGACGCCCAAACAGCGACTAACAGAGTTGTCACGCACGTAACATTAACATTATACACGTCATTGAAAAAGGCTATGAAAAGGGACGCAAAAAGCGTTGGAGCGGTAACATATTTAAATGTAATGTTTATTTGTCTGTGTATGGCTGTTTATATATGTGTGTCTGTGTAATTATTGGCAAGTGTCAATGTAATATTAAGCCGAGATTGACAGCGACTACTTTTCGAGGTAAGAGCAAAAATTAAAAGTCATTGCTCGCGACGATATTCAATTTTCTTTTTTAAGTTCTGTTCGCGTTTTGTCTTACATCGTACTTTGTTTTCTGTCATTTTTCATCTGTCAAAGTTTACTGTCTGGCCACTTTCGTATGCCAACATAAAAATGTACGAGAACATAGAGGATGACAACATTCTAGCGTATATTAAGCATTCAAAAAGGTCCCTTCTCACATCCGCCACTTAACGAAACAATACTCCCATTCAGCCTGAATGTGAACAAGCCATCGACGAACGCTTTGTAGATTTAAACAAATACGTCGTTGACTCGGGCCGGACAAAGCGGTCAGTGGCCAGGTATGACCCGTACGCTATCTGCCAGCGCACTGTGAGCATCTATTAAGTCTTTATATAACACTATGATCTATTATCCGTAAATAAACGGAACAATTGCAGTTGAGATAGTCGTTCCAAGTACAGCAGCCACAATCAACTAATGATTCTCCGATCATCGTCGAGTTGAAACCTTTTGCCAGAACCTCCTCATACCTATTTATTACTGCTTATTTACTTTCTGTAGCAGACGTTTCCGCCATTGCTCCGGAAACTAACTCCTTCCAACGCGTTCGTTCAGTAAAGTTGCCGTTAGGACTAGGGCTGTTGCGGCGACAGTTCCGAGGCCGATTCAATGGCCGATCCGATCAATCCGTAGGTATCTCGTTGAAGTGCCTAATGCGACAACTGCCCGGCCACGCGCTACATGCTGTACCATGAGCCATATTTATGTTGTAACTAACAAGACGTATTTACGTCGTCGTCTACGAGTTGAAAAAAGATGTGTATTCCTTCTATACCGTCATAGGTTACACGTCTTCGCCATTAGCTAGCCCTGGGCTTTTTCTAAGGGCGCTGCGAACGTTCGATAAAACTAACTGTACTTACGTAGACAAATCGACCTGTGATAGTCGTCGAACATATCAAACACGTCGGTAAAGATGTTTGATGGTGAAGATTGCTAATATTACGAAAATAAATGCTCCCAAGTGTTACGTCCGTATCCGCCATTAGACAACATAATGGCATCAGGCGCCCCATACTATTTCTGCCGCTAATACGACGACTGCGAACATCGCCGACACTAAAATGTTGAGTGTCAGTAAGATAGATCCCCATCTTTTATTATGTCTTTTTAGCAGCTGCAAGCACCCGCCGCTACTTCCGGTGCGTACCGAAAGTCAGCTACGTCGCTTCGCGTCAACTCAGCCGTCTGTGTAACTACCGATCAAGCATTTACGGCAGCACCACTATGTGGGCGGACGACCCAAGACGAGGGATTAGCTTCGTGTGAAGCGTGTTTCCGTCTCAAACTCAACTTTTTGTTCGTGGCATTATACTATTTGAACACTTCATACACCTTAGCTTGTATTATTAATAAATACATAAAATAGAAACATAAAGACACCCAAAACCTCGTTCGACTTGTCGTTGGCGTCTCACGGTGGTGGCAATCGCGTTGTTATTTGCACACCAATGAAAACAATCATATATCTATGTGTATGTAACGAAGATGAACGACGCGTAGAAATTTCAGCTGTGCTGAAGACCGTTTTGGCAGGAAACGACGGAATGGCAAATCAATGCAGAGCAATGTGAAGTTTTATATTGTTTCTCCATTTAATCACGCTTGTCGTGTAAAATATACAGTATGTATATATATATATATATATATATATATATATCGATTGTTCAGCGACGGTTCCCGCTGTTGAGATAGGATTATCATAAGCGCGCATGTTGCTGGAGGCGTCAGCGATAAGGAAACAAGTTGTGATCAAAGCGGATTTCTTCACTCGGCGTTCGGTACGCGTTTTTCTGAAAAAGAAACGGAGTGATTTTCGGTCAGTCAGTTGAGTCGGCCTGAGAGACCAGGTTCATAGAAGCGTTTCTTATAGAAGTAAAAAGCGCTAAGTGCTTGTGTTATCTACTGGCTATCTATTGCAAGCGGCTTACGAACGGTAACTTCTGTGCGCAAGATAAGGTTCGCTGATGTTTCCGGCCAAGATGAAAAAATTCACCATTTTTCGACACTTTTTTACGCTGTTACGACAATTTGAACGGCGTTAGGACTTATAAAGGAAAACACAAACAGGCAACAAGGCCTTTGTTGGACAAGATATCGTTATTGACCGCTTCCACGCGAACAAACTGCATTTTGGGTTAACCGTGTTGATATTATAGACTAATCTATCAAAATTAATTGAATACACTATATTGAACATGTTGGCAGGCTCAGTCGCCCTATTCCTATGCTCAGTTACGCGTTGTTTACGGCGAACAGATTCGTATATACTTCATTTTATCTTAACTAACGTTACAATATATAATTGAATGTTTCACTGTTGATTTTTGGCTTGTTTCGTCACATTTGCTGTAGCTGGATACGACAAGAATACGAAGCGGGTGTTTAACATAGATAGCGCCACAGCTCTATTTCTGATACCATTAACTGTTTGTAGGGTATGTCTCCTAATTTGTTGAACATCGTTATTGTAACATAGACTTCCTGGTTCACACATGTATAGGGTGCTGAGAAAATCCATTCGAATAAAAATGGAAAGTTTACCGAATGTTCTAACACTTGTTTCGTAAAAAAAAATTTTTCTTCCAACACTACTTTTGAGAGAGAGAGAGAGAGAGAGAGAGAGAGACTTACAGAGAAAGATCATTAGGTATGCTATTGTGTCAATTAAGGTCATCCGAAATGAGATCATCTCTTACTTCAGACGCCTCAAAGGCTCTGACTCTGATTGGTGTTGTTAAACACGGAAAAAAAAATTGTTGCGTCTATGCCGCTGAAATTTTTCAGTACGAACGAAAAATACTTGCCAGGTACACGGTTAATAAAAATCTGTAATGATGAATGACGATGATTCACGGTTCTAAAAGGGCTGTATTTAGAAATTAGCGTTCAAACGTATTATATAAGAATGTCAATCCTTTTGTTTCTGTCCAGCTGACACAAGCTTCTGACAATCGGGTCAGTCATAGCGACGGTTTACGTCTCTTTTCGAGCTAGCCGTCAGAAAACGTGCGGTCTTATATATATTAGTCATCATCAGCAACTGTGCACATTCATTCATGATCGGGTAAACTTGTTGCATGACAACAGACCCGGTCAAGTTGCAGACACACCACCGTTTTCAGTTATGGCTTTGACAGAGCGTTATCGGCACCTTTCTTCTTCTTTGTTTCGATTATATATCATTTAACTACTAAAATATTCATTCACTCATTAGGGAATCTAAACATTTCAGCTTTTACATAAAGTTACGTAAAAAAAAAAACACCCCTATGATCGAAGAGAGAGACAGAGCCACACAGAGAGAGAGAGAGAGAAAGATGGAGATCTTGCTGTCACGGAGAAGGAACGATGACGCGTTTAGGTGAAATCTGAAAACTGACCGCAGTGCCAAAACTGAGAAACGTGGAATTCGACAGTTACTGTATTACACGTATGGAGCGACAAAGGTGTATTCGCGTGATGAAGTTTCTCAATGCTCAGTTAATTCAACCGTTTTCAATCTGCCGCCGCCAACCTGACTGTGTGATTAGAACAATTATGTTTACTGATATAAAACGTGTTGTCCTTGGAAAGGAAGCGTCGATTGATTAAATCCGCATTTACCCTCGTACGCGATCTTACTTAATGGACGTCCTGGCCTTCTCTTTAAATTCAACCCCAAATACCTGTCTCTAGCTCCACAAGTCCCCTAGCCGACGTTGCCTTGCTTCCTATCTTTTGTAGCATTTCGAGGCCTAGCTCCGCTTTTTGCCAGAGCAAGCAAACAAGATCGAATCAGTTTCATATTCTGCTGTATCACTTTGATAGCCTTTAAAGCGAACTCTTTTTCGTCATGTACACTTGATCTGTTTGCAATGCTTTTTTCATATTGACCTGCTGTGGTAGCCGAGGGTGGGACGCCATGGATGATGCGGCATTAGCTGCGCGCGACGATACACGTTGGCCGAATCGACAAAAGCGTTAGAAAAGAGAGAAAACGAAAAAAAAATCCCTTCATCCTCTTGATGCCTCTTCTTCTATCATTCTGTTCTCTTGCTGAAACCGATTTCGAGCGCTGTAAGAACCGCTCGTATTATTGTTACGGCAACTGTGGAGCTGAAGCCATCCGATGGAGTCAGGCAGCTCGTTGTGGCATTTAACTCGAACTGAAGTCGCCGTGCCTCATCTTTTTCCTGAAGTTTCTGCCATTTTTTCGCTCCGTATCGAAAATAGGATAAAACAGAGACCGTTCAATAGCAAAGTGGTCCAGACACGTTCAAACACCCATTATTGCTATGTAAGCGTTGACGAGCATCCGAGTCAATGAGCCCATGATGATGGTGGCAACCGGTGGCGAGGGTTTCGGTGCGGAAGGAAAGCTGCGATGCCGATTATCCGATGCCATTGGAGCAATTCCACTTGACGATGCAGTCGTCGACCGACTGCCCGGGGATTACGATGGATTCACTTCCTTCTTTTTGCATTATTTGATGGCGCCATTTTTGAACGGACACACGAGTAGCTGCACGGTTGCAGCAGTGGTGTAAAGGTGACATCGATTAGAGTTAAAGAGGTATAAGGAGATTATCGAGAAGAAACAACCGTTTTTTTGCTAATGGCATAGCGACGGTGAGAAAATGGGACAGATCATAGGTGTCCAAAAAATATGTTTTGCATTGTTTGTTTCTGAGACGATTAGGGAGATTCAATTGGAGCTGGCGGTGAGTGGCTATATATGTGGAAGGCACATGATGGGGTCACATCAGAAGCGATATTACGGGACTGCGCACAAAGCGTCCAGATAGGGTTGTAGCTATAAAAATACCAGTCATCGAGGAGCAATAAACAGGTAACTCGGCAGCTGGAATCGGCCTGCAGCTTAGACGCTGTAATTTTTTCCATTTTCATAACATCTTTTACTTTGTTTCTTTGTTAGCATTGAAAATCCTGTTTACACATTAAATAGGCATCGCTGATTTTTGCGACTCATACGCTGGGAAGTAAAGACACACGACACGCCGGAAGCTCTAACTAAAACAAAATGCGCCGAACCTTTGTCGGAACAAAACACCGTACTCTGAAGGGATCCTTAGAACGCTACTGATGACTGATTCGCCAACTTATCTATCCTATTCTATAACCGTCGGAGTCGAAAAATTTCATTCTATTTATCGGTGTGGTAAAGCGTATGAGACTGCAACCGCGCTAGTATATATATCATACGATTAGTTTATACAAGTTTTATTATAAAGAACATCATGCTTCAAGGCTTAGGGCGCTACATAAGCACTGTCCTCCTCCATTATTTAAAAACTTATATATAGACAATGCCGTAAATACCTCAATACAAATCACCCAGTCACTCGAACATTACAATTGTTAATTGTTTTGGCCTTGACTTTACCATGAAGAGTCATTACAAATAAAATGACCGTCTGAAAAACTAGGACAGAAATTGTTGCTATTCTATATGCGTATTCATTCGCTGAAGTTGCTCATAATAATGAAAGTACACTCCTTAATTTATTTCTGAGCTCAGGTTATTCATCCGCAGCCATTTTTTTTGCTCTCGCCATATCATTGTATAAGAAAACTGTGCAGTAAATAGCTTTATATTTTATTTTGAAGGAAAAAAATCGATTTCTTGTTAGTGTTTCATGTTAGATAACTTCCGCCCATCATGGGCGCGTTGCCTCAGCTCAAAAATGATATTTTTCAAAGCGCTGTTGTAATAGAGCCTTCGGTAAAAGCCATCTAGCCACCAATATCCGTACCGTGATGCGTATGAGACACTTCATTGATGACACGGTCCTCGAAACCAGGCCAATTATTGTCATTTGCTTAATACATTATTAATATAGTACAATTGTCTACATCTAATTTTCTACATCAAGATATAGGTCCACTACACTCGAGTGTTGAGAGACGTGTTCCACCGTAATTTTCTCTGTCAAAGCAACGATGAAAAATTTCTTCGGTAAAGCACAGTTATAATGCCAGCTGAAGCCAGTGAGAAGCGGCCCTCTAATACGTTTTCGTTAGCAATTACGTAACGCAGCCTAAAGTTCCATGAATCTAGCAAATAGATTGACTCGTAAGCAATTTAGCACTCTTGCCCTGTCGCAAACCCCCTTGCCCCATGGCAAAACTTTTCGCACAGGCCGCTCTCTGCGAATGCTGCGTCTGGTTTTGGAGTACTTCCGTATAATCAGCGTTCCCATGAAAACGGACGCACGGAGACATCACGCAGCATCGCCGTTCGAGAATTTCGTTCGTCAACAGAGTCACGAGCTGTCTGAAAAATAAGGATGTAGCGATTACTGTGACATTGAATAATCTCAGTGAGGGTTCAATGTTCTACCAGCTGGTTGCATTGCCAATGCCAGTGTTTCTGTCCTTTAGCAATTGGCGGAACAGGGGCCCACTGAAGACGGGGCTGTTTGAGTCATTGTACGAATCGCACGAACGACTGTAGGGGGCAAAGATCGTTTGCTGTTGAAAATAAAAGCCGAGGGTGTAGCGTGATAAATTCAAATAGCCCAAGGCACGTTACGTCCCTCCTTCTGACCAATACGAATATAGCATTAGACATTACAAGAAACAGTATTGCATATATCACTTGTGGCGGCATCGACAGCAAACGTCCGGAGAACTTTACAGACGAGAGTTAAATAAAGAAGGGACGTCTCGCTCAACACAGATTATGATGTTGGGCCTCGAATAAGCAATATTGAGAACGTCTCCCGCTGGACATACTGAACGTAGTGTAGCCGTATAATGAATGTTGTGGGACACCAAGGCCCTGGGGCAT